ATGGCCGGAGCACAGACTTTTGCATAAAGCATAACGATAAGCATAAGGAAATTAGATTGGTCCATTTCCTTATGCATTTGCTTATGCTTATATATAGACCAATCAATTTTCTTATGCTTATGCGTTATGCTTTATGTAAAAGCTTGTGCTCTCGGCTTATCACTTTCTGATCTGAAAGGTTATGTAAAAATGTCAAATCGTAAGCGCGCGCCGCGCGGCTTCTCAGCGCCATCAGCGCACCTAACGTCAGAAATCGGAAACTGAACATTTTAGCTGAACATCCTAGGAAAACGACAATTATTTCAACATTTCGACTTTGGACTATTATAACTTTTTCTACAGCACCTACAGTAAAGACAAGCATACTTTTCTTATGTAATTTGGGTATGCGCTATCGATTGAGCCTATTATCAACTCAATCGGCCCAGTCGTTATTGAGATCCGATAATCTCGGCTTGTCTCAACTTTCGGGCTTGCGTAAAGAGACACGGGGTGTTTACGATAATTCGCCTATATTAGGCCTTTATCAGGCCTTCTTACAGATGTTTTTAGGTCATTTGTGCTACCAGGGTACACATATACATATGTATAAATGCATTATTTTATTAATTCCGTAAAAAATGTACATTTTTTGCGGATAAAAGAAAAAAAACTCTTTTTTGATTGTTTCTTAAACTTTTTTTGTCGGAAAATAACGTTTTTTTGATCGTTCCTTAAACGTTTTTTTGTCGGAAAAATAACGTTTCTCTTGACGTATTTCGGGTTTTTACCAATAACATTTTTACCAACGACATTTTTACCAATGAAAAACGTTTTTTAGAACCGTTATGAAACGTTTCAATGAAACATTTGTGAAACGTTTCTGAAACGAACATGTGCTACTTGGGAATGTTACTATTTTGTAATAAAAAATTGAAAAAATAAAAAATACTTGACTTTTACTTAATTACACTTGCATTTTTGAATAGTATACTAAAAAAAATTCTTACTGTGATTGTTTTTCGAAAAAATCTCCTTTTACAAAAAATTACACGATTCTTTTATGCAAATATTATGTACTATTTATGCTTTAATCTTCGTATTTTGACCGAAATA